GTGAAGTAAATGATGCAGCACAGGTACCACGTTCTGCCCAGTCACAGCTGCAGCCTCAGCTGCCATCCGCCTTTCATCTTTGTGTCCAGTATCCTGGCACTTACATCTGCTATGGAAACTTGTCTTTGCAAACTCCACATGTCCTTTCACACACCTGCCACTGCCTAACTCAGTGTGCTGTGAGCTCTGCCCAACTGGAACAGATATCCTAACAGAGAGAAATCACTTCTGAACGGTGGAAATAAAGCCACTGGTGTTAGTCCTTTGAACTAGTGAATTAGCAAGAACAACACAGGAGTTCCTGGGACCCATCTTCTACAACTTGATCACAGTTTTGTTAGGAAAGGCTGAAGTGTGGATTTATACCAGTATCTTTGAAGGGCTCTTTGAACTCAGGCATATCACGGTCATCTTGCTTTCCTCACAGGTACTGATATAGTACATGGCTTTCAGGAATTGTTATTTAACAATAGATGTGCCAATGTAAAGGGAAATGGAAGAGCTTTCTTCTTACCCTGATCAACATCTTACCTAAAAAGACCTATATATTATGGATTTCATACCTGTACAATCACACATGGGGGTATTGTATAACAAAACTTGCAGGGTGGTTTTTTTTGTTTCCGTCAGACCCAAGTTACAGCGAAAACATTCCAGCATCTATTAACATTTTGGCATTGCTGGATCACTTATTAACAACTTGCTGCCTTAATCCCAAAACACACGACCTCACATTGTTTAAATGAATTAGCTGGAAAAGTCAAAGACCCATCTTCCACAGGACCTATACACAAAAGCACTTACTATGATATTTATTGAGCTGGATTAAGAACTTAGCACTTGTTTAGTGCTAATAATACTGAAATAATTTCAGGTTTAGCTTCAGTAAAACAAACCAAAGTCTGAGTTCTTTGTAACAACATCATTAACATAACTGAAACATAATTGAATGCACCCTTGCATCTCACTACAACACAGTTCAATTGGTTTTAAAAACTTCAAGTATTTCACTTTCCAAATGACTCACCCTGCCAACTTTCTGTAAAGTCAAATTTGCTTGTGAATTAAACACTTGCAATCCCCGTTTGAGTCACTAAGCCAGACCAAGCAAATACTTGAGTCTGTACAATTAAGGAAAAGTCTACACATTTTCCAAAAATTTACCTCACTTAACTACAACTTTAGAGAATTGTCTAATACGTCATTATAAAATGAGTTACTTGTATAAAAACATGGACATCACCTTACAAATGGAGGCTTTGCTAACTGAACAGGCCTTAGGTCTGAGGCCTCAAATCCCAGAAAGTGTGACTGCTTTAGCCCTTCCTTATCGATGATCTCCCTAGCACATCTCAAGTTAACCATGTGTTTATATGCTTTACTAGATCAGGGTGATCAGATTTCCTTTCTAGTATTGAATTTAAACACAGCCCCTGATGTTGCCTGAGGAACAGTCACCTTTTGAACAGAAAAAAAGGCTGAAATCTTCCATATTTACTCACAAAAATCTCCGAGTGAAAATCATATCAGGACTACTGACTGCTCTTCAATCTGACTTTCAAAAGGATAAATTAAGGAATTAATTTTACAATCAAACACTACACTGGGAAGGACATTATTAGAATCTGATGCAGTTATCGGGTTCAGGTGAATCCTTGGCTCCGCATCAGAACCAGTAACAAAACTTGCGACAGTGAAGCTGCACCGCGCTACAGTAACCAGACTTCCCACCAATGCAAGGCTCCCTACAATCACAGTGCCCTCCCACTCTTTGTATGCTCTTCCAGGACTTTTGATCCAGTTTTCTGCTTGTAGGCTTTCAACCCTGAAATAACCGTGTGAAGATCCACTGTTAGCTTCTGGAAAGACACGCTTCTTTACAGAGCACCTACACAGTCATTTTCAGACCCAGAAAAAGCTCCCAGGAGATGTAACCCTTCACAGTGAAGCTGAGTGTGGCACTCTATTTATGACCAACAGATGGAGAAGAGGAAAGGTTGTGAATCCTAGAAGGACGCAGCAGTCACGATTTGGAAGTGGTCTATGAATTCTTACAACCAGAAGTTCTGCGAAAACATGGGGATGAAAAAAAAAGCTGATGTTAAGTCTCCTGTTATTTTAGCAGCATAGACATCAAGATGCAAGATCTTGGACTGGTTCCAGTGAGTAACTTGCGACTCTGAAACTTGATCTACTGTGAAATTTTGTGCCCAGAGAAATTCAGGAGAGGCCTTAATAACAGAATGCTGCTTAAGCTACAACAAAGTGTCAAGATTTTATCTTTCTAATATCTGAGAAAGAATGGTGTAAATTAGTTGCCACAACAGCATGAAATTATAGCCTTCCATAGCACACAACCTAAAACTATGCCACACAGCCAGACCATTTTATTGTGTGTTTGATACCTTGTTGGAAAAAATCCAAACACTATTTCTCTTCTTCAGCAAAACCATTATGTGGACTGAATGAGAGTCAGCATGTACACTCAGGAGCTATCTTGCCTTAACCTTTTTTATAATTTAGTTAGGACAGAACTGTGTTTACAATGCTATGGATAGACTACAGCAAGGGCCTCATCTTAAAGCTTCTGTTTTAGGGGTTGTAAGTCCACTAGATCATTTGGTTTCACTACAAGCAAATAAATGCTAAAACAAATACAAAGTCACAAATATACACTCAGGTAATTATGTCAACACACCTCCTTGGTGGCCACGTGTTATTTCAGAGAAACTATTAGAGAAAACACTAACATGACAGTACATGACTCTTCAACTAAATCAGTCCCAATCCAAAATTAATAATTTCCATTGCAGTAAAATGCTGTCCCTTCACCTAAACACTCACGAGCTTCTCACAGCTTACATCACTGTCAAACTTCTGACTCTGATTAGACATCTCAACACAGCAAGTTCAGATGGAGAGATTAACAACTAATCTATGAATCTACAAGGTTCATACCCATCTGTTGCAGAGGTCCTTACAGAAAAAGCTGGGGCACAGAGTTCTAGATCCTGAAGATAATGTGCAGACTTCTTCACTGAAGCCCACGTGCTTCTACCTAACAGGAACACAGTTTGACACTCCACGTATTTTACGGAGCCCAGACTTCTCCTAAGTGTGTACAGTAAAATTAAGACTTTGTGAAAGTCTAAATGCAAACACAAACCAAATAATCTATTAACAGTAACTACTGCACAGTGTTGCAGTCTTGTTAGCATTTGTCACTATCCTGAAAGAACAGACACAGGCATATTGTATAAACTGATTCACTCAAAGTAATGCTACAAGAAATGCATTAAGCATAAATACCTGAGATGGTTTAGTATTGTTCACAACTTGCTCTGAGGAATTTGAAATATATTATTAAGACTAGAAGTAGAATCAATTTAATAGAATACTTACATGCCAGAATGTGCCTCAGTGCATTTATTTACCACGTAAATTTTATAATATGTAATATACTTTTTAGTAGTGTAACTTTTAAAGAAGAACAAGATATTTCCCAAAGTGATACAACTATGATAAGAGGAAAAACAGTCTTCTTTCCTTCTGCTTTCTCCTTTTCACCATTAATCACAGACTTGTTGAGATTGGAATGGACCTCTGGAAATGGTCTAGTCCAACTACCTTGTTCAAAACAAAGGTCGACTAGAGCAGGTTTCTCAGGGCTGTGCCCAGTCAGGTTCTGAATACCTCTAAGGATGAAACTCCACAATATCTCTGGGAAATCTGTTCCAGCATTTAAAGACTCTCCTTTCTAAAAACTTTTGCCTTGTGTTTAAATGGAATTTCCTGTATTTTAATTTTTGTGCTCGCTGCCTCTTCTCCTCTCACTGGGCACTACTGGGATGGGTCTGCTCCACGTCTCCACCCATCAGGTATTCACAGACATTGCTCAGACACTACTGAGCTTTCTCTCCTCCATGCTGAACAGTGCCAGCTCTCTCAGCTTCTGTCTGTCAGATGCTCCAATCCCTCAATCATCTTCGTGGCCCTTCACTGACCTTGCTCCAGAACGCCCATGTCACTCTTTCACTGGAGTGCCCAGGAGTGGACATAGTACTCCAAATGTGGTCTCCAACAGGGGAAGGATTGCTTCCCAGCTTGCTGGCCAGTGCTCTTCCTGGCCAGTGCTCTTCCTCCTGCAGCCCAGGACGCTGCTGGCTGCATTTCCCACATCCATCACCTTTCTAGGTGACTGAGGTGAGGCTGCCTGGCCTGTAGTTCTACAGACACACCTTCATGCCCTCCCTGAAGACAGGGTTGACATTTGCTTTCTTCTAGTCCTCAGGAACCTCTCCTGATCACCATGATCTCTCAAAGATAATGGGGAGTGCCCTTACACTCAGCACTCTCAGGTGCACACTGCCAGATCCCGTAGACTCACGTGTGCCATTGCAGGCAAGGCTGCCCCAGCCTTCACATCCCTGACCAGTTCTCCCTGGTTTGCACATATCAGGACCAGCATTTGTATCCAAATTTGTATTCATTGCAGCGCTCCAGAAATGGAAGCTATCCCACTACATCTCTGCAATCCCAATGACACTGAAAAGTGCACCCATAAACCCTGAAACTGCACGCAGGCCTTGAATTCCTTCTGCATTAAGCCAAAAACTGTTTTAAAATCAGCTATAATTAGCATCTTTAAAATAACCCAGTTATACTGCTGCCCAAAAGAATAATCACATACACAGAAGAACTCCTTCAACAACAAGAGAGGAAAGGAAGAAACAATCCTGTGTATTTTATTGGTATTAAGTACAGTCCCGTTACAATTGATTAAAGATGACTTTTTCTTTTCCCTTTTTTTTTTTTTTTTAAAAATGTAACATAGAAAGAAAAAAACATAAAAAACCTGATTGGTCAGTTAGCTGAAACCTATTCACAAAAATGAAAAAAAAAAAAAAAAAAAAAAAAAAGCACAAAGCAATCTGCTTTGGACATATGTCTACATAGAATTTCACACGTATGGCTCAGTTTGCTCCAGATCATAAGAACACTTTTTTTCTGAACTATGACTTCTTTCTGCACAAGGATCCAATACCAGGGTTGCTCCTGGGCTTAGAAACTACCATAGGTGCAGATGCATGTGGCTGACAAGATACAGGTCTCTTATTCTTCTTCATGGTAAGGACACCGTCTTCCTTTGGGGGAGGAACATGGATTGGTTTCCAAGGAATGGGGTTACAATATGCTGGGGCTGGATATGAATTTCTGTCACCAATCCCTAAAACATTTAGAAAATACACATAACTAAAAATGAATATTTACACTGCAAGCTTTTATAATAATAAACAAGCAAGTTATAATATTCATCTGGATTAACAAAGACACAACAGCATCTTCAGAGAAAGACAGCACAGGCACATCACATAATTTAAATTATTCAAGATAATAAATACTCCACCTTTTTTTTTTACCAATAACTGGTGTACTGCTCATGTTTACTAAAATAATAAGCAAGTTGAATGCTCAGTCATTGGCATACTTAAAAGCTGTAAATGTCTATGAATTGGCTACTTTGTTTACCCAACCACATGATGGATACACTTCAAAGTCTGTGATATATTCTGTTGCATGAACACAAGTGAGTAGAGAAATATTTTTCAAAAATCATTTCAATAAATGATGGCAGTTGTCAGTAAGTAATGAAGGTCCAAAACAAAACATGAAGGCAAAGTGTATCACTATCTATAAATAAATGTATGCAAAAGAGTAAAGGTTGTTCACTGGCTTTATACATGTTTAAACATTCAGAATTTTGGTCCCAACACTATTTCTGTTTTGAATTCAAATAAAGGTAAGTATTTTAATTGTACAAACAAGAAAAAAAAAGGAAATAGCATATTTATCTATTTTTAAAGAAAAAATAAATTAAAATATAATAAAGCACTCAAACATGTAATGCAATACCACTTCTTGCTGCTCTTCTGCTTTTGTACCATGTGGGATGACAGAGGCCACCAAAAATAGTGAGACTTGTAAAACACCACACTATTAACAGCATTCTCTTTCACACTTGGCTTTCAAAAAAAAAAAGGAACAGGATTACAGAGGCCAAGGAGGTGCAATGCAAGGGAAAAGCAAAATGGAAAGGAAACTGTAGCTCACAATAGGTTGATTCCCATGTCTCTTTTCACAGACAGGTCTTCTGTCAGTCTTCTTGTGCCTCACAACCCCACCTCTTTCCTAAGGGGGATTCCTGTGTGCTAAGCTGGCACACGCCTTCTGTGGCACGAACATCACCTTTACCAGGATGATAACATAACTGATTTGCTTCACAGGAACCAGGGATTGGCTCTGGTGATTCCTGTGCCTGGTAAAAAAGCTAAGAAAAGTGCACAAAAGGTCTCAGAGTGTATTTCTCTGAGTTATACCATATGAGGTAGTCATCCCTATGTGCCAAAATTAGATACTGGACAAGTATCTCAAACAGGCTTCATTTTGCATGAAAATATTAGAGGGAAGGAACCACAAATCTAAGTCACTACATATTTGTGTCCTAGAAGTACAAACCTCTGGGCTTCCCATGTGGGCAACCATGATCATTTAAAACAGGGCGTGGTTTATTTCTAGCATTTTGTAGCCATTCCTTAAAGATTTTCTCTGATCTTGTTTTCTTCTCCTGTAGCTCAGCTTCCCGTTCTTTTTCTTTTTCCTATAAATAAAAGAAAATCTAAGATACTTATAGACAAAGCTTTGTACAATATACACAAAATGGTAAACAATTTTTTTGCAGATTTTCAGGCTGCTGAATATATTTTAAAGGTCTTCAACTACAAACACAATTTCCCCAATGATAGAAAGGATGCAATCTTTTCAGTCTGAAAAAAAATTTCAAAAAACCCAACCTCCATGTTTACTCCACTGTTTCTGACAAAAAAGCTCAAAGGTTATAAAAAAATGCATTAATGTGTATCTTGCTTTGCTGAACACACCACAATGTCTTCAATGCACTAACATTGCAACTTTGAAAAGTTTATTTTTCATGTACAACACTGGCATTTGATATCAACATATTTAATATAGGTTTCAGATTAAGTAACTTAATCTAAATAAATGATCAGTTCATTAATACCTTCTCTTTTTTCTTCTTTTCAGCCTCTTCAGCTCTCTTCTTCTTTAACCATTCTTTATACTTTACCTCAGCCTTTTCTTGTAACTGCATTTTTTCTAGTTCCCTTGTGGCTTTTTCTGCCATTTCTTTGCTCAGCTTTCGTTTCTTTTCTCTTCTTTCCTATGTGAAACACACCAAAGGAACAGAATACAAACTTTTCAGTATACCTCCATGAGCAATTCTTCTGAGGAATACAGTTAATTTTACTACATAATTACAAATAAAATTATCATGAATCTGAAAAAATATGTAACATTGTAACCTCTTTGAAGACAGAACCTATTCATCTTTAGGTTCCGGATAAAATAGTTTTAGACACATAAACCTGTCAGAAAAAGATGACAAAAATTTTACTTTCAGGTCTCCTTATACTATTATGTTTACTATTCTGTTTTATCTCTTCAGACATTTGTTAAAACACTTCAGACACTTCTCAGTATTTCTGGGAAAGAAATATATGTTTCAATTCTCAACAGTGGTGTGTTAGTTCCACTTGTCAGTGAAATCTAGAGCAAACTACAGTTCCAAATGGAAGACAGGCAAACTGTCCCCTCCTAAGTCATTGAGATATGCAGATTGTTCAGCACCCTTGAGCATAAATTGATAGGAAAATAAAAAGTTCACATGAAAATCCAGTTCATGTCCTGTGGAAGTCTCTAAATTTTTTATATTCTTTAGTTCATTCACATAGGGACTGCTTCACTGAATCCATCCACGTGTTTCTCCTCTCAAAATTATCAAAGGGAAAACGAGAAAACACGTTCTAGGGTAGGAAAAGAGTGGTAACTGAGTGAGAAGTGCAATTGCTACCTGACCTGCATGATTTGGGAGACAGAACATACAGAGGTGTCATTCACCTCTGCTTCTGTTCAGTGTGTGTGTACCCAACGGGACCCAACGTTTTGGGGACCTTGCTCTAAGCAAACAACCACGTGCTGATGGTCTGGTCTTGATCTGGAGAGGGAGGTATTTCCATTTGAAGAGTAACAACAGCTCTTCCTTCCATTCTCTGTAACCTTTATGAAATGTCTGGAATTCTATCGATTCCATACTACTCCTGCTTAGCTCGCTTAGCTCTGAAGCAGCTGCATACACGTGTAGAAGCAAAAATCTACCAGACAAGCTGTGTATGTGACTTGGAGGAGAGGCAGAAGACTTAAGAGCAGTTTCATCTTTATAGAAAAGAGCTGCTGAAAAAAAAAATGTTGTTTTTCTTCTAAGAAACCTTTTACTTGTATGCTTCCCTGCGTACTCTTCTGGAACAAAGGAGATGTGTAGTTCAGCAGAAACTTTGACTCAAAATTGCTATAGTTGGCAGAATGGGTGTCAAATGCCTAGAACTACAGCTGCAAAGTATAATAAATAAATGAAATAGAGGAAAAACACATTCACAAGAAAACCAGAAATATACCCCCATTCCCATTTTACCATTATATATCACCATTTTTCCCATTATAAGCACAAGAAGGCAGAAACTAGAGCTCTCCCCATGTCTCCCTCCCCCATCTTTCCCCCCAGACTTACTGCCTTTCTGCAAAATCCAATTATGCATAATGAAGCAGAAGCCATAATACTGGAGCTGGGTACCAGCATGATTCCCTCAGTCAGGTCTAAACAGGATATCTGATGGTTCAGTGCTTGTCCCCCACACCAAACTTACCAGCAACCCAATAAAGTGGCTTCATACAGAATAAAAACTTCAGCTTATGTTGCCCTGCAAGACACTACCTCATTTCTACCAGAAAAGAAACCAATTTACAGAGCTGCTTGAGTTAGTGTGTCTTGTTCTGTGTTTGCCAACACAAGAAGCATTACTACAATTTTATCAACCAGCAGCTAAACTATTTCCCCTCCCCCCTCTTAGAAGCTGTACTTTATTAATTCTGCTATAATCTCTGAGGTGGATGTTTCTTCACCTAAATCAGAATGATACTTTCAGTACTACTGTTTTGGTATACTCTTGTCAAATAGTCTTATTTGACAACAAAGATTTATTTAATGTACATACTGCTCACAATTTCACAAAACTATTACAATTAGCTAATAACTCTGTTTTCTCCTTTTTTTTTTGTTTGGATTTGTTTTGTTTTGTTTTGTTGTTGTTTGGTCTCTCTTGTGTTTGTTTCCATTTCACTTCTAATACAGTCTAGCAAATATCAGCTGAATCTGTGCTGTAGTGTAGGGAAAGTGGTCCAATATGAATACACTCCAATGTCAGGGTACATTCTGGAATGCAAAACTCCATAGAATTACGATGTAATTGAAGTCTTATTAATATGATTTCGCAGCACTGAGGCCTGTACATGTAATAAAATTATTTACTAATACTTTTACTAATACTAAGACCAATGAAAAAAAGAATTTCATTTTGGAAAAAAAAAAAGTTGAGATTCTGAAATGTTTTTGTACTAGTAGAGAATGGAAATAAGATCTTTCTTAACATGAAACAAATGTTTCCATACTTAAAAATGTTGAAGAGGAAAATTAATGTATTTTTGACAAATTATGCATTCTAAGTATCACCTTCCTGAAAAAAGCAAATAATCCATTGTCTAAACTCTTCCTCCATCATCTAAAATTCATCCTAATCTCATTTATCCGGAGCTGTTTCTCTGTCTCTCCATTACAAATATTCCCCACATGCACCTCTCAACAACTCCTGTTTCAAGACAGTGGCAGTCTGTGACACAAAAGAAGCATTAACATAGATGAGAGATAAAGGTTAAATCAGTGAGTCAAACTATTGGTGAAGGTGCCTTACAAAGACTTCACATATTTTGTTGTTTGCTGACTTACCTCTGATGTACATGAATGTGGGTTACAAAACTAAGGATCTTCCAAAACTACAGTCTTTAGCTAAAGTCTTGGCATATAAAAGGCATGAAAACAAATACAGGACAAAACTGAAAAAATTGGGCCCCTTCCATACCTAGGGGAATTGTTCAATAATGGAAAACTATTATAAGCAGCAAATAGACCTAAAATCTTTCTAAATGCTCCAAATGAAATGCAGGGAAGCTTCTGAAATTATGTATCTTTAATCACAATACTTCAGATGAGTTTAGCTAGTATCTAGGCCAACCCAAAGTTAAATTAGGTCCTATGTAAACAATAATATGCCATTCACACTACCATGAAAGCCACAACAATTGCTAAGTTTTACTTCCAGTGAGACATCGTTAAGAAGGGGAGACTCCCTGCAGAACTGCAGACTTTGCAGCTGCCTAGAAATTATTCTGCAGACAAATCAGAAACGCTTCCTCTTTCTCTCACAATCAGAACAGCTTTTCCTTCACAAACTTAGTGTACACCACATTCCCAGCTGCTTTAGGAACCTGTTTCATGTCAAACTCCTGTCACCCTGGCCTTCCCAGCTTCCCCCCCTTACTCATTACTTTCCCTTATACAGGTCTACCAAAAATGCTATGAATGTGCATATTAATGTACATGTTCTTCAATCCTTCTTGTACTTTCCTTCCATGTATATATGGGAGGGAGAAACCACTTGTTTATGCTTGGTGTTGTCAGATTGGGTTTTAAAAATTCTCTTTGATCTTGTGTTCAAAACAGACATGATCCATTCGCTAAACCACTAGTAAACTTACATACATTAAAGTATGATTAGAGGTATTACATAAACTAAGGTATTGATTGTAAAACATCCAATTACCCATTGCAAGAAAGGCTTGTTCTCCTGCCACCCTACCCAAGCACGTAATTAAGGAGAGGATACAAATCTACCCTGAGGGTTCACTGCTCTGGGCTGTGATCCTATCAAGCCTCAGAACCTAATGAAGGCTGGGCTAGGTCTGTACTTGGAAATCCCCCACCCAAACCAAATCATTCTGTCCCACAAAGCAGTGCTGGTGACGCAGTCTCACTGAGTCAGGATTAACTACTAACTTTTCAAGAAAAATCAGACCTACACGTATGTGGTGAGCGGTCACAGGATTTTAAAATTTGAAGAAGCACCCCGCTTCCTTCTTGACAGAAGGCAGAAATGTTAAATCATTTTCCATGCAGGAAAAAAAGCCTAATTGCCTTAGAATTGGAGGCACTATATCCAACTGGAAGAAAACTAATAAAATATATACTTCTGTATTTTCACATCAATGCTTAAATGAGAGGCTGGAGAGGGTGAAGCGCAGAGATGCTTCTGTTCTGCGTTTTCTATGTAGATTGACACTGAGTAGAAACATTTCCAGAAATTAATGTTGTGACTGATATTTTTAAGACACTTCTCACAGCAATCCTTTTCCACTATATGTCTGCAGAATGTGACAACATTTTTCTTCTCACAGATAATGGTTCTATTTCACAGCTGTTTGCCCTGACATCTTAGCTACCATATTCTAGCATGATTTAATGCTGACTGATGGCAAAATATAGGAAAAGTCCACATTGCCAACATCAGAATATACACCCAAATTTCCTTGTTTATCCTCATACTAATCCTGAACATCAACCACATTTAGCAATCTTGGAATTCTGGGTTGTTCAGACAATTGTAATTATCTTTTGCATTTTGCCCTGTAACACAATTTGGTCACCAAACCAGCCCACAGAAGTACCTCTTTAATCTCTCCTGAACTGGCAGGTGTAAAGAACAAGAGGCTAGAGAAGAGGTCAGTGAAACAACACTGAGCTGCAGTTGTCTCCAGATAGGCAGGTTTACAACGATTTACTGCTCAAGTTCACATAAAGTCAGTGCAGACCCCACCGCAGTCTAGGAACTGGAGAATTATTGGATCTTTCTCCCCAGCCATGCTCATTTCATGTGGGTACTCAATGTATGTGACAAGCAGGAAGTTTTAATGTACTTGGTCCCTGGAACACTCTCAGGGTCTTCAGAAGAATGCAGAGTCCACAAATGCTGCTGAAATACATGAGCACTCATATTTTATTCATCTGTCACCCTGAATTCCTCCTCCACAGCTCTATCTAAAACTCATTCTAACACTAACCACGAGAAATTAGTTCATTCTACTTACAGAAATCTAAAGGTAATTAAGATTCAGGTACAACCTAAAATAATAACTATGGCACTGGTTAGGCATGATGTCACAGAATGGTTTTGTGTAAAGACACTCCAGGTTCAGAGAGTGAAAGATCCACAATAT